AGGAACTTAATTCAATTTTCTTATCCGATCTTTGATTGAAATAACGAGGACGCCGGCGATCAACCTGTTCTGTTCCCCGTATCGTTTAAAGACGCTTCGTTATCTACGGTCGTTTTACAGGTAGGATCATTTCCGCGTGCATTTGCAAGTCTTTGGAGGCAATTAACGCGTCGTCGCGTGTCCGCCCGGTGACGAATGTGCGTTTGTCGAAGAAGGTTTCTCATTAACCGGATTACTTCTAGTTGCGTTCGTCGCACGGCGAGCAGAATCTGCTTTCCGCCGGGAAAAACCCGATTCGCCGAACACGCGATACTCTGAAACAATTAGCCGACTTAACCTCGGCTTAATTATCCGTTCGGCGAAGCGTGGCGGAGATTAATTGCCGCGGGTACAAACTTTCTTTCGATACTTTCCCTCGGTGTTCCGCGAGACCAGCCTCGCCGCGCGCAATCGGACGCCTCGACGTTTCTCGCACGTAGCATTCCACTGGGATCGAATCGCGCGACTGTTAAAAATTCGCAAAATCGATTCTTGGCACAGATTGACTTTCCTCTTACTTATTGTCAAAATTAAATGGTGAACTTATTGTCAACCCACCTGGCAAATTTTATTAAATTCGTTACAACATTTCGACCTTACTTCTCTGGGGAAAAAAAGACAGTTATAACCCATTTTGGGGCCCACCATTAGTAATCGAATTATTTGGATTGTTCGTAACTCTACTCTGAGAAAAATTTTGGCCGTTTTTTTATGTAGTTAAGCAACTTAACATTTTGGTTATTGCCACTTAAGTGAAAATTATCTTTGCGTTACTGAATATCGACAGAACTAATTGAGAGAATTGATTAGTATTACTCTAATATCTTGGATATAGATAGAACAGCTAATTGTGATTTTTAGTTACGCGAGATAAAATTCGTAAAAGATTAGAGTTACGAACAATCTAAATAATTCGATTACTAATTGTGAGCCCCAAAATGGGTTGTAACTGACTTTCTTTTCCCAGAGTTGAAGTACTTGAAAAGGAAGTAAGGTGGAAACGTTGTAACAAATTTAATAAAATTTGCCAGTTGGGCTGACAAGAAGCTCACCCTTTAATTTTTAATCGTCACTGGCGACTGTAAGTGACATTCTTCTTTCGTTGTTTATCGCCAAAAAATGACGCAATTTTCGCGGAATAAGTTAGAAGAAAATTTCGCGGTCGCTATTCCGAAAAAA